ATCTTCCCAACAGCTCACTCTCATCACCTTTTCCAGGTTAGGAGGCTAATCAGTTACTGGAGGCCTTTGTAACTGATGATTATGTCATTTATTTTACTGGCCATTGTAGGGGTATTGATAAATGGGGCACTGCTGAAGGTAAGGTTATTCTGAACACATCTCCCTGCCTGACACTTGTTATCTTTGTTGAACAGATGCCAAGTGCAGCCACTGCAAGTTGAATTACACGCTCTCTCCTTATTGGGAGATACGGCAATAAATCTCTAAAAGCTACCTTTGTGATATACTTTTACAAGAGGGGGGAATAAAGTAGTAATTGTCTCCGGTTCAGGAATACTAAGAAAAAAAGTTTGGACAAATTAAGCCTGCATTTCCCTTACGTAAAAGGGCATCTCTATCAGCAAGCATTTTGCAAACATTTTAAGACAGAGTATTTAAATCCTGCAAAGTCACGGGCCACAGGTCACTTGGCTATCTCTATATAGGAGTATTGAAGTCGTGCTGAAATACATGGAGTCCTGGTAAAGGCAAATGCCTCCGTTTCCATTGTGGCTGCAAGTTAAGGCATGCCTAAAGGTACAGATATTACACACATTTCCTTAGAGACACGGATTCACTGCTAGCTTATTAATTATAAAATGAACTTGTGGCTGTTACTCGGTACTCTGCAAAGGATATTTCATTAGCCACTAGATGCATTAGGACTATTTAAATCCTGAAATGCTATTTTTAATAAGCCACACTRTCACCTGGCAGGAAATTTACAGAGATCAAATAATGACACCTCAAATAGGCATTTCTGACATTCTATCTATGCTTTTAATAAAGATGCTCTTTTTCAATATATTTAAACAATTTTGCAGAGATCTCATTGCATTTAGGCCCATGTCTGCCCAGAAATCTGCTTCATCTGTCTGTACATAATGAAAAAGAATTAAAATAGATTATGCAAAACTGAGCATCCAGTTTAACAGATATATTATCAAATCTCCTCAATAGCTAAGTTAAAATAACTCAGTAATAGGTGGCAAAATGCTACAAAGAGAACTGAAGTACTCATGCTTACGTGGGTTTTCATTTTAATAATTATAGCTGGAAATTTCTTATATATAGTATTCATCTAATCCATGTAGRAGATAAAACATATCAGAGACATATTAGATCTAGGCATGAAACAGTTAACAGCAGTGCCCATGCCAAGGTTTTAATAAGGCTTAACAATAAAAAGCTTCAATCCACCACTTTCACTAGATTTTGTTGTTGTGGTTTTCCCTTGCTTAGGGCAATCCATCTGTTAATGTTGACTTGCAATATAGTTAAGCTCGCACACRTATAAAAAGCCTAGAAGAGCTAACCTAAGCAAGAGGAAGCTGAAAGGCACATTACAGAGGGAGGACAATTCATCTTAGGCAAAGATTAGGGTTTTGTGCGTCTGTGTGCGCGCATGCACACACGCATGTACGAGTGCAAGCAGGTTTTCTTTATTTAGGAAGGAAACTATAGGAGAGCAAGCTGTTCACTGCAGTTTGCAATAACACGTTTAATTATTTATCCTCCGATTAGGTTTTGACAGCTATTTTGCATGTTGCAATTTGTTTTGATTTACTGCTAATTTTTTTTTAATTTTTTTTTTTAAAGTCTATTGCAGGTCTAGCAAAAAATATACTAAAACCACTACGACAGCAGCGATAAAGCTTGGTAAATATTCATTGTTAAAAGCGGCTCTGCACTGTGACCAGTGCTGGTATTCTCCCTGGGCCAAACTGGCCTTGTTTTCAATAAAACTAGAGAAGGATCCTTTCCCTTGAGCCCTGTTAGGCTGAGGCTGCAGTTGGAACTGTCATCTCCACACAAAAGCGGAGGGGTTGGGCTTTACAAACGCAGAGCCTAATTGGGAGATCTTCATGGCTGTACCCTTGACATTTATTAAAGCCTCATCAACAAAACAGGAAATAACCGTACTAATTAGCAGACCCGCATACAAACTACTGTTTGCTGGGGTAAAAAGCAGATCCGCTTTCTATAGGAAAAAGGACTCCACACCCCTTTCCCCCCCAAATATTGTTATGAACCAATCATTACAACGCTGTTTGGAATGAGTGAAAGAACTTCTCTATGATACGCAATGATTCACATGGAAAAACATTTTGTAATATTTCAGGTAACTATTAGTTGGTGTTTTTATATTCAATTCTTTTGAAGCAGTGAAGAAGGAAAAGCTCAATGCCTGCATCTAACATGAAGCAAAATTTAACACCAAATTCCATATAGATTCGTTATTTAATATATTTAGYATGGAAGGAGAAGGAATAAAGCACAGAATTACACCTTTTATGGAAGTATGAASACCATTATCTTTTGGTTTTGTTTGATTAGGTTTTTTTGAGGTAGTCAAATACCTTAATGTCACAACTGAATAGCAAGTGACGGTTTTAAATATTTATCAACGCACAAGAAGTCCTGTGTAATTGTTACGATGCTACAGCCAGTCACAGGCACTATTTTAGAAAGCTGGGAGAAAGAGTCAWCTTCATGGCAGAGCTACACAAAAAAGCTTAAATCTGACAACACTAACAACACRGGAAATTCACTTATTTTAAGCTATATATATGGTATGAGATTAAACAGTGCTATAATCGCACATTTGCAAGAATACATGTATTAATATAAACACAGACTTTAAAATTGGCACCTCCACCTTGCATTTCTTGCTTATTCAGATATYTAAAGGAAGCGAAACAAGAGCAGCAGAAGCAGAGCATCGGTTTTTAGCAATATTTTGAGGAGGAAGTGGGAGCCACGGGCCTGAGGTAAGTGCCATGGGGCCGGCGCTCCCCGCCAGGAATCCCAATGTGCTCCCTCTGCCCACCGGGCTCAAGCGACCTCCGGAGCAGGGGCTGGGGAGAAGACGCAGGGCCCTGTTCGCAGCAGGGCCAAGCACGGGGCCATCAGTCACACGGCCTTGCTGGTCAACAAGCTCCACGAGTGCACCCAGCCCTATGTAGCTACGTGGATCTATGTATGTGCACGCATGCGTGCCTCTGTGTGTATACAGACACGTAGATATGGATTTTATATGGTGTGGCATGCACTCGTCCTGCCTTCGTTTCAAAAATGAAGACACAGCTGGTAGAAATAAGCATGACGATATGAAAGGACACAGCAGTATGAACATAAAACCATACGAAGTTCAAGTGTTGTGTCAGAACAGAGGCCTACAGAAAAAATATTAAACTGTACTGAGGTAATTTTTTTTTTTTTTTTTGTTTGTGTACCTAGACCCCTACATCAATAGTAAATAAGGTGAAATAGCAGGACTATCAAGTAGTAAATTAGTAAATCACTGCATATTTATTCAATAATGCAGCCCATTAAAATTCACTTACTGTTAAGATACATCTATATTATATATTTGCATTGATGCATAAAACTGCAGCTTCACCTACCCTAATTGTATATGTTGTTTTATAGTGCATTAAAAGCTTTTCAGAGCCTCAAGCTACCAAATAACATTGGTGGAGGAAAAGAATTTGCTATATATTAAAATAACACCGTTCTGTTAGTTATCTCTTTATTTTAGGAGCCTATTCATGTCATTAATGTTAACTCATATTTTGAACTATCTTCTCTCTCAGCTCTCAATGAAGAAAGTTTACTGTACATAGATTCTTCAAACATATCACAGTTTTCTACATGTGAAAATAAACTGAGCATACACAGTGTAATTTACCACCGACTAAAATGAAAAGCACAGAAATTAAAACCTGCCTATAATGTTAATGCAGAAAGTCACTTGATCTTAATACAATTTCTTGTAGTATTTAACAAATCGATAATCTGCATCAACTTTATGTTAATGCTCACAAAATTCATAACGAAGCAAGACTGAACTGAATGTATTACTTAGACATTTCTGATTTTTATCATTGCAATATCTAAATCAAAAAACAACAACAAAAAAAGAATGATTTCTCCACTCATTTCTTATCTGGGGAAGACATATGCAAAAAAAATCCATATACAAATATTCATTACAATATATATAAGCCTCCAGTAATAATAAAAAGTACAATAAAAAACATAATATAGTCCGTATATGTAAAGATTTTTATTGCYGGTAAAATTATACTATAAAAATTACTTATTGGAATCTTTGGAATAAAATTATCAAAATGAATGTCGAGATATCAAAACAGTTGCCCAAGTTGCCACACTACACCTGTTACTGCAGGGTAGAGCTGCTAGGAAAACTAAGAACAAAAGGACAAGAGAGAGCTGACATTAYTAAAATAATAAATGTTAACTCTTTGAGCAATGTTAAAACCCATCTCACTTCTAAATCAATTTATTATAAACATAATATTAATGTGTTTTACCATAAGATAAATTTTAAAATAGCTTAATATAGATGTATAAACATAGCAGAATTTATTTGTTGCGAGAGCCTATGTTAAAAGCAGTATGTAAGACTGAGTTAAATCTCTGATCTATACTAATAAATTTCTCTAATGGGAATCCATAAAATGATGCGTTACGTGGAGTAAGATTTTTAGTACATCAGCCCTTCAATATTTGTAGCTATTATTATACTTTTACATATTTTGAGCCATTAATAAAACTCAATTTTGTTTCAGAATTTTAACCACTGTCTGAACAAGAATCTACAGTGATGTCTTTGTGCAGACATTTTTCTAGCCATCCATCTGCTTTCCGAATCTCCTGTTTTCTCCCTGTCAATGGGGATGAAATACAAATAAAGCTTTTCCTCCCTCAAGCACTGTACTATAACAGCAGCATTGCTGCAAAAATAACTTTTTATCATACTACCCAAGCACAGACAATAATCTTAAACAGATTCACCTATATTGCTGCAAAAATAACTTTTTATCATGCTATCCAAATGCAAACAGCAAAAAATAATCTTAAGCAGCTTCACCTGTAAGCGGAGAATATTTTCCTTACATGTATGTGAATAAGAACAGAGGTTTCAGGTGTCTTACCTGCGCAAGTCTCCGCTTTTCCGAGTTTCCTCTTTTCTCGTTATGCAATGTGTAGACAGGAGCACTCCGAACGGCACCGGAGCTGCAACTTCCACACTCTTCCTCACTCTCCTGCACAACAAAACAGAGACAAATTCCTTTATTTATAATCACTATCTGCAAATGTATGCTCTATATTATGCATGCAGAAAGCATTCAAAATTATCTTGCCGTAATCTATTACTGTCACAAAAATACCATCTGTAGTTAAAAAAAAAAAAAAAAAAAAAAAAAAAAAAACAGCTTTTCAAAAAGCTGAATTATCAGCATTGCCTTTTAAAGGGTGAATTGTTCAAATGTCTAGATCTTTTTGAAAGGTTCCTTAAAAAAGAATAAAATATATTTAGAAAAGGTTCCTTCTCCCTACAGAAAAATGGAACAAAATTTCCAGTAGGAAAGGCAGCTGTAAAATGCCTAAAATATCTTTTCTGCCTTTTCTGCAGTATTATTTTTGAAAAATGAATCTACTTCCTCATTTTTAAACACTGCCATTGTATACATGTCTTACAAAACCAAAAGAGACAACTACCCTTCTGAAATACATTGTACTGCAAGATGCTCCCATCTTAAATTCTCAGCTTGAAGCAAAAGCTTCAATTGTGATATCAAAGCAATCAACTTTATGAAAACATACATCCTGTTAATGTATCTTTGAAGACCTCTGTTGTTCTAYGATAAAATATGCAAACAATAAAGAGATTTTTCAGTAGATGCATAGAATGACAGATAGTTGCCAGAGGGCTCGTTATGAAAAATGTATTGCTGAACAAAGGGCTAAGCATATTTCAAAAGTCATTAAAAACACAAATCTCATGTGATTTGTAAAGTATAAGCTTCAAACTGATAAAAGCAGCAAGGTAAGTAAAAAGTGTGCTACATACCCTGTGTTTCAACTTACTCTTCACTTCTTTTAWTCCTTGCTTTGCATGATTTTTTGCCTAGAAAATTAAAAGGGCGTAAGTAGCTTTGTAAGAAACCGACTGTAGGCATGAAATAGGCTTCAGGAGGCTGTACTTAGTTTTTCTTGTTTTACATTTGATATAAAGGACAATGATATTTACCATTCATTTCACTTGTGCTATTTAATTCATGCTTTCTCGGTATATCTACATTTTTTTCCCCACACACACCAGCATTGTATTACTGTGAGAATAAACACACAAGTCCCAATTTTCTCCAAGACACACAAGTCTCCAGTACTACTGAGGACAGGCTAAAAATGATGSTCTTTTACATCACTCCTTTATTTGAAATGGTCTTTTAAATTGGAAAGGGCATTTTAGCAGTAAGGCATGTTGGAAAAATGTGAAGATTTTCAAGATGACTGCTACAGTGTTCCAGTCTGGCAACTTGCAGGGCAACATCAATCTTAAGAGAAATGAAGTGATTTCATATGCAGATGGAGATTTTGCCCAGTGTTGCTGAACAGCATAGTGCTGCTATTTAGAGGAAAACTCGGGACGTATTGTATTATGCAGCTCAGGATCACTGCTGCACAGAAAACAAATCCCTAAATATTCTTCAATAGAGAAATAAATTGCCAAAAAAAAGAATAGCATTTGGTTGTGCTAATATATATATTTATATATATATATTTATATATTCCTTCTATCTGGGAGAAGAAAAAATTAATCTTAACAAAAGAAGGGTATTTTTATCTCTTGCATATGGCTAATTCAGGGAAAAAGTAGGGAGGTTTTCAAAACAGTCTCATAAAGGCTCATTTTATACTTAAGAGTGTGGAAAAGTGGAATCCACATATTTTCCTATGTTTTTCTCTACCTGAAAATTCAGAAAAAGAAAAGAATTTTCTTGATTCAAGAGGTCAGAGAGTCTTTTTGATCCTTAAATCATACATCCATAAGCTCAATAAGAGCACAACGGGGTGCCGTGTAGCAGATGCTAACCTACGAGTCACTTTAAACTTTCCAGATCACACACTCACTCAGCATTTGGATGTATTTTGGAGCGCTTTGTTCTAACTCTGAGGAATGGTACCAATCACAGTATCAGTTATCCATTAATTAAGAAATGCATATTTCATATCTGGGATAGAAGGCTCCATAAAGAGCAAAAGCGTTAAGAAATTAAATAGGTTATAAATGAGATTACCTTAAACACATACAGAGCCTCAAAATGTTACCAGTGCATTTTGGCATATAAAGAACTTCACTTAGAAGATTATTATCAAGTACACTCATCAAAACAGAAAGCTAAAATTATRTAACTACAGTTTAAACTAGTGTAAACAAAAGAATAAGTTCTGATAACCTGTTAATCAACCTTTTTTTAAAAAATTATGAGTTCATGAAGTATATTTATTTACCTTTTTCTCCCTTCATGACTGCTGTGTTCCTCAACTGATGTAAAATTAAAAATTCTCTTTGAAAACTTAACATGCACTAGCTTAGTCTGATGTACTGATTTATTCAGGAATATTTATTATGCATCTAMGAGTGAAACACTTGGAAAAGTTAAGGACAAAGTCAAAAGTGTTTTCCCACATATTTAAAAATCCAACCCTAAATTAATTATTTCCTTTTAAATTATTCTAGGTTGTTTTTCCATACTGAATAATAGTTGTTAATTTCACATGCTTTATAGGTTACAAAGTCTCTTAAAACAGGATTTTATAAACTCAAAGGTTTAAGCATCAAATACAATTGAAAGTATTTTGATATCATTCACAGCACATGGTACTGATGCTTTCCTATCTATTTTCAATAGTGCAGCAGTTAGTGTCAAAGAAAAACTGCACCTAAGTCATGACTCAGTTTGTCTTGCAAGAACTGAGYATCACTAATAAACTGATTCTTCACAACATGACAGCACTATATAATTTATATTTGAAAAGCATGACTTTTAACACTCAGGKTAATTTTGCAAGAGCAGAGTTGTGTTAAGGGATAACTATTATTATTTTCAGATGTGTAATAGTAATTACTATTTTCAGAGTGCGTATTTTAATCATCTCACCAGTTCAGGAAAACTTTTCAGCTGTATATCAATGATATGATACTGATAGGTATGTATATAGTATGAAAAATTATACTCAAATATGCCTTTTGTGCACTAAGACTCACACAAAAATTGCATACTGATGCTTTGAAAATACATACTGTTATGTACAAATTATCAAGAACATTCTGACTTAAATCTCAGTTTCAGTGCTCTAGGAGAACATGAATGAAACTAAAACTGTTCTGCAGGCTGCAATGTTCTTCTGAAATACATGTATTAAATGTTTAGGATTTGTAGGAAGAATAAGAGGTTGAAGAAAGTTGAGGCAGTTTTATGTATTAATTAGAGGAAAGAGAGAATCTTACAAATTTATATGCTGTTTTCACAGCCGGAGTAGCTTTGGTCATCGCTGTATTGATCAGTGCACCACCTTTCTGAAATATACAGAAAAAAACACATATTTTAGTAACTCTTGGCTTCTATTGAATATAGTAAGACAAGAGCAAGGAACCCTGAACCATGTGCTGCAAAGGAACAGTCATCTTCCTTCTGAATTGGTAAGAATTWCCACAGCTGTGTCTCCTCTCCAACCTACTGTCTACAGCTACACAAGGGTTACACTATGTCACTATCAGGGCTGACATATTTATCAATGCATTCTAACATAATGATGTATTTTCATTCTTCTTTCTTTGTTACTATTTCAAAATCAGTTCTGAAGTTATGGCTAGTCTTCATGTGTTCTCATCATATATTGCATGTAACTTAAAAAAATACCTTGACCTGATAGAAATAACTGTACCTCATTTAATCACACATGAATTCTTTTAATCTATAATAATATATTTCACTAATCCTGCAGAATAACAAGGTTATACACAGGGTCTTCTGTTAGTCAAACTGCACAAAGCCATGCTAAACAAGTTGCCATCTCCTAGAAGTGATAATCTTCCTATCAAATCTTACTGTCACTCCTAATTCACAGTTATGGAATGCACCATGATATACAATAGTGAGCTACTTGATGGCACAGACAGAAAAACACTGTTTGTTTTGACATTTGCTTTGTGGATGGGAAGATATATATTTATTTACCAAACACATATACTAATAAAAATAACAAGTGTGCTTAGATATTACTTTCCTTAGAAACATGTAATAATAATAATAATAATAAAAAAAAAAATAATAATAATAATAAAAACCTTTCACCAGTAAAAAAAAAAAAAAAAAAAAAAAAAAAAAAAAAAAAAAAAAAAAAAGAAGGATTACTATGGCATTCAGATTGGGGTGCTATTCAGATTTTTTTCAGAAACAAATTACTTAAACAGCAAGATGTTTATACCTTTACTGTATGCATCCACTGCTGATAAGATCTTGAATTTCCTAAGATAAAAATGTAAAAGAAAACAGAATCAAACACACATTCAACATTTTTCATGTTTCAGTCACAATCTGCATAAGCACAATTTCCTTAGAGGATTATCCATTAATTTCATTCTTCCCAGATAGACCAGGAATGCTAAAGATAAGACTACGAGTACATGAAGGAGGGGAAAAAGAAAAAAAGAAAAAAAAAAAGGTATGTTTTACTTCACATTGTCCATTTTCTTTCCCAAAGAGTACCTTTTCACCACACAGTTTTTAATTCCAATTGAAGTTTAAAGAGAAATTAAAACTACAATAACAGAGCATATTGCCATTTTCTTTTAAACATCAACTTGAAGGAAAGAACACTATATAATGTACTGCATTCAAGCAAAATGATCCCACTGAATAAACTTTCAAGTAAGAAAAGGRCTGCAGATAGCATCATTGAAAAGAAAAAGCACCAGAGAAGAGACTAAAGATTTCAGCCTCACTATGCATCTCTGGTGTAGGGAAAATTCATGCAAGTTATTAACTCTAATAACTTTCTTTCACAAAAATTAACTTCCAAGAGACAAGTGGTGACTGCTGGCTTGGTTTTGCCAAAACATTACTGAGGACAGTAATGTTTTACTGTCCTCAGTAAATGCAATACAGTAATTGCTAAAGYATTACTGAGGACCACTGCCTCACTAAGCAGCCCATAAAGTACAGGACTAAGTTTTACTGATGGGTTGAGGAAGAACTGAACATTATTTCCCTAAACTGCCTCACCTGGGCAACAATGGGTATCTCTATGATCATTGCAAAGTTTTGGGAAAGATTCATCACTGAATACTCAGATACTGCAAACGCTGTTACCAACCATGGATGAAAAGTTCCAAAATAATTTGACAAAAATGAAGCATTTCAGAGAATTTATTATTTTTACAAGGACCATACTGATACATCCTTGACAACAGAAGATTTCATAAATTCTTCGACTCTGTAATAAATCAATTAGCAAAAGCTTAGTTGGAATTACTGCATTGCCTTGAGGAGAGCCAAAATACAACAGTCTCCTCACAGAAGATTTCTGAGATTACAGATTAGAGACATCGCTAAACAGATTATTGTTAAAATAATCTTCCCAAGTATCCCAGGGAGGGGAAAGAYTGAGCTGGACTTGTATCAGGCATCCAGACACTTCCGCTTGAAGTGCTGATCCCAAATGCCACCCGTGTCATTAAGATCCTCAGAAGCAAATTGGGGAGAGYCAAACTCTCAGCAATGATGTGCGAGTGAAAGCAAGGGCATCTTAGGAACAATTTAGGAAAGTCTGAAAATGATGCCATTATGATCATATCTCCAGCAAGAAGGTTGATGAGCAATTTAAAGGAGGGGGACACACATACTAATTAATTACTTTCTCAGTCTGCCTCTCTGGAATTACTAGAGAATGTAGCATGGAAATAACATGTATTAAGGTGAACTGCAACCATTCCTGGYAGGTTAGTGATGTGAATTCAGCTGTAAGGACTTTCTCCAATTTGCCACTTTGTTTTGTTAAATTYCTGTCACCGATATTCACCCAGCGTGTGGCCTGTGGAGCCCGTGGCAATGGCTCTCCCCACACCTCGCTCAGGACCTGTAGCTAAGCGAGGACTAGAGGCAGTTCAGTGAGACCACAGATCACTGAGTTTCTCCAGCTTCCAGTTGGGTGAGGAGAGTTACAGACATAGARAAACATAGCGAGATATAGATAAATAAGACAAATAAACACTCACCTACAGAGAAGGCAACATTAATACTGCATCTACTGAGCTACAGTTAAGATTCCCGAAACCCAAGCGTGTGGGTTCAAAAGCAAAATGCTGAGTCTCTAAAATAATTACCAAGCGAGAGTGTCAAAGACTTTTCACATCTTCACTTGTTTCCCTCATTCTGCCACAAATATTAGATCAACTAAAAAAGGATTTTTATAGTAAAATTAATGTGCTTACAGATTAATCAATACAATCCACCATAAATTCGTATTTTAAAACAAYAAAGCTTCTGAAGTTTTCAGAACACCTGAAAGTTTTCAGAACTAGTATCTACTTCCACGGGATAATTCATGTCACAAAAAATGAAAACTTCTGGAAGTGCAAGGATGAAGCATAGAGACTGACAACTTTTGTTTCATACATAGTAATAAGAGGAAAAAAATGAGTACTTAATATAAAACAAAACCAATTAATTCWAGACAAAAATCAACACATTATTTTTAAATTTCTGTTTAAATYGTCTTTAGTGGTATAGTTCTGCTTGTATATGTGGAGAAATGCAAATTAAAAAGATTACTGAAAGGAACACATTCCATTTGATTCAGTAATATGCAATTATATTCTCTCTTCCTTAGAATATATTCACCTGTCTTTTCAGCAGCTTATAGCTTATAACTTTTGGTGACTTTTCTGAAGGCAGGCTTCACCTGCCTTTTTTTTTTTTTTTTTTAAAATATGCCTTGGACCACATGATAAACTTGATGGGATTTACCTCTGCAAGAGATCATAGTTCTACCCCATTAACATCACAAAATGTCACCTTCAATTGCATCCATACTGTTAGCCCTGCACTTCATAACGATAATGAGACAGCAGTTATGTAAATAGTGACTAGGTGCCCTAAGCAATTTGTCCACAACCCGGCAATATGCAGCTTGTCTGRCTTGAAAAGCCCCCACTCCTACCCAAAGCAGAGCTGCTCCTGAAGCTGCCTGTCCCTGCTGAGCGCAGCCAGGTGAGCCACGGTTCACAGGCTATCAGTGCACAGCCAAGAACCCAACTTTATCTGAGTTTCAGGGCATTTTTATTGCAGCCTCTTGACCTCCCAGCCGCAGCAAGCAAGCAAACTCTGAGCACTGACAGCTCCTATCTGAATAATGGATGCTCAACACTGAAAATCTATTTATAGAGACGCCTGAGTTGCCTTTAGAAAAGCCCAAAAAGAAGTACATCTCCACATAACTAACACCACCTTAATCAAGAAAGAAATAAATTATGTGCCAGATCACAGCACAGGACACGGAGGGCAGGAGAAGCAGTAAAACCCTTAATGAAGGGACTTGTATCTATAGACTCCAGCTGGAAGGGGCAGTTCACAGAAGGTGTCACCAGGACTGCACAATCCTGGATGATCCCTCGCATGGGGACAATCCCCTCCTGCCTAGACAGTCACTTAAGAGCGGTCTTGTGGTCCTGCTAAAGTTAAGATTAAGGAAGTAAAGTTAAGATTAAGGACTGCTAAAGTCCTGCCATACACGGGCTGGCCCAAAGCACAACTGCCACGGAACCTTTTACAAACTACTCTTGAGACTGGCTGTAAGATAATACTTGTGTTCTGCTTGTTTGGACAGCAAACACAGTCCTTCAAATAATAATGTAAAGATGTAAGTAACATCTAACAGGAAACCATCCAATAATCCTACAAGTAATCAGAGCTGGATATAGCAGGCACTCATCTATATGGGGTTCATTTTGTAAGATAACTAATATGAAAAAAATACACAATTGCCAGGGAATATAACTGAAGGAAACAACACAGGAATAATAGTTTTATTTAGAAAGAAAGTTTTTTTTTCAATATTCCTTCTCAGAGAGTAATCGACAGGTAATTTTTTTTTCTTAAAGTAGCACCTTTGCTGGAGACAGCTACATTGCTCTAAAAATTCAGGAAATCATTCTGACTTTGCACTGCAGAAATAACTAGAAGGGGAAAAGGTTAGAAATGGTTTTGGGAAACAGATAACACTATCTATAGGGAATTAAGCAGCAAAAATCTAGAAATTATTTCTAAAATATTGATTACCCCAAATGTATTAAATAATATAAACATGCAGTTAAAGCTAATGAATCTGGTGCTATTTAACAGTTTCTTGAAATCTAAGTATTATTTTACCAGATTATCAGATTCTTCTGTTAGTATACTGAAATAACTTGAAACATATGGATATGTGTCACAGCAGCTAAAAATCTTTCCAAAAACAAACGGAAACACAATTATGAAACAGAAATAAGATTAACTACTATTACATTTTATAGAAYACAAAGACATTATCATGTTGAACCCCTCCCAGAGAAGAAGTATTAACAAGTACAAACACTCAGATTAATTCTGTACCTCCACAAAAGCCTCCTGCTGTGATTTCTTCTTCAAAAGCATCTGAGAATCCCCTTCCTGCATTTAATTTTGATAGTCGACCATCAATAAACTGAAATAATAAAAAAGTCACGCTTTGTTGGCCTTGCTAKTGCTTTACAATGTTACAGTTATTATGTACATTATAACAAAATATGCACATTCAGGATAATATAYGACATAAAGAAAATATATTGCGTTGAGCTGGATTTAGCAAGAGTGGATGCAACTACAAGAAGCAAAAGTGTCAGATTATTGGGCAAAAAACACTGAAAGCTCTTCCAGAGGTACTTCACCCCATGTGTATAACAAGTTGTACATATTATGCAAAATTTAAATAAACCTAAATATTTGCAAAGTTTTATTGTCAACAAAATTATATCTCAGCTTATTTAGAAGTATTTTCAGTGGGTTTCATGCTTTTTTTTTTTTTTTTGCGCATTTCCAGAGGCATGAACACATATTCATTTATTTCCTTACAAATGTTAAACCTTAGATTTACGATTACAAGCAAATAAAATTATTTGAGGAACTGCCTGATGTTCTGCTATGAACTAATACATTTACCCCTTATCGTAAACAAAAACTATAAACAAACTTCCCCGTGGATCCCCTTTTGGGGATACCTATATACCTATAACCGAGTCCAAAGCAGAACTTGCTGATACACACAGAAAATACCTTCAGAACATTTCAAAACATATTACTACTCCACTTAAAAGAAATGATAGSTGGGATGTCTACTTGAGGTCCAGTAAAAGTCCACTCTAAGTACCTGACACGAACTGTAATCCTCTATAAGGACTGTCTGTGAGAGGAAACCGAGCAAAACCATCCATAGCGAAACCAAGGAGGATTGGTTGATACAACTATTTAGAAAAAAATATACACATCTGTTTGTCTTTTTTCATCCACTATCATTTATTTTGGTGTATTCAGATGCCTATTCCAATAGTTGTCTTTCCACATGGGTTAGAACTGCATGGGTTCGTGCCATTTGTATTCACATGTAAGTGTATATAAAGACTGAAAAGGAACAAATACATCAAAAAGAAGGGGAAACCAGATAACTAATGAGGAAACCTCTCAGAAGAAATGAATGCATTCTTTCCAAGAATTAATGGCCATCAAGAATTACAGTGAGATATTCTTTAAGGTTTAGAATTTTTCCAAGAAGCAACCCATCCATTTTTGTTTTGAAAAGGCTAATTCAAGTCACAGTAAGATAAAATGAGAAAGCACTGTCACTGTTTGGATTATATACAGTWCATTTTCTAGCAAGAATTACGAGTTATTCACTGGTACTAAACAGTACATACCAACCAAAATTAATTATTTGGCTATGTCATATATTMTCATGGATTATCCAAACAATGTCAGTGACAATCTGATGCTTGTCAATGAACAGAATAGTGACATGAAACAAATTACATCGCAGAGTACAAAAATTCCAGCAGCAATAATAAGGCAAGCACAAAGATAACCATTCCCTTCTCTTTCTTGTCTAAATTCTTCTTATTTTTTCATTTTACTCCCAATTGGCTTTTTTCCAAATAGGTTTGGTTCATGGTCAGACCACTATGGGATCACTGGATTATTTCACAGTAAGGAGAAGAGATAAGAGCATCTTTAGCTACTGCTGTGCAAAAAAACAGCCTTTGAACTGTAAGACATTATCTCTTTGAGGAAAGTTATGAATTCATTTCACGTTATAAACTAACACATGATTTATGAGCATACTTATCATTTGGAAAAATCCTATCAACAAAAGGCTGAGGGGCTGAATTTAAGGAGCATCCAAGGATTGCTCCAATAGTGTTTCATGCAAACAGTGACAAAGAGAAGCACGAGTAAAAATACTGAAGAAATTATTTAATGGAAATGACAGTAAAATAGTAATAACATTATTAGTATTTATTTCTGTATTATTTTTGTTTTTATTTTTGTTTTTAAATATTTACATTTAAAAAATAGCACGTGGCTACCAAATCTACCCTGCATGGTTTCCCTCCTCCATTTACCAAACTCATACTCAGAAAAGCATTTTCTTTTCTGAAAAAGAAGTCATTTTCTGAGTATGGGTTTGGAAAATGGAAGTTGGCACATCAGTTTGAGCAATGCATTCTCTAACTTCTGGATTCAGAGACCCACTGCTTGATTCGCATTTTTGGAAAATAAATGTTCAACCCCAGCCATTTGTACCCCCCAAATGTAACCCCAGCCTCACATTTTAGCTGATTAAAGACAGAACTAACATAGTTTTTATGTAATCCTGATTTTTTTTTTTTTTGATTAAATTACACACCACTGCATTCACTTCCAAACATYTTGGCACAGCTGATGAGGAAAGGCAGTAAACAGTATTTGGCTGCTAACCTTCAATCATTAGAATTAAACAATTCAAGTTAATTTACCAAGTGTTAGAAACCAAAAGTTGGTAGGAGCAAAGAAAACATCTAAAAAGCAAGCTTCACAAACTAACAGCTCAATAAGCCTAGAAGCAGAGTGATGTTTCATGAGGCTTGCACACCAAATTAGAAATTATTAATATTTATAATTTTGAAAGACTTACGTTTCTTCATGTCCTAGTGCTGCTTTCATTATTTTTCTGGTTAAGTTTTCCTCAACATTGTCAGTAAATGCCAATAAGTTTTGCAGATTAGTTATATAATTTTTATATATATATAAGATTTTATATTAATTTAAAATTTATATAATATTACTTATATAATTATATTATTTAATGATCTATTCCTAAGGTAGTCCCCATGCTAGTTCTAAGAACACGTTTATATTTTCCATGGACACTTATCAGATGGTATTAGGCACGTGAGATGCAGCTATCAATTGCGTACATTCGAGGTTTGAAAGAAATAATATCTACCTTCTGTGCTATTCAAATTAAGCAATTCAGATTCCAATTAATTTAGAAGTCTTTCTTGGATTCAGAAAAAGCCAGTATGTAGATACCTATGTATGTATCTAGTATGTAGATATCATACATAATAACACAAGTACCAAAGATGGTACACAATCATGTAAAAAGTAGTAACATTTTTTATAAAAGGATAATTTCAGTCCTTCTAGATTAGGAATAAAGATAACCAGAGATTTTAAAATGGAATCTCCCCATGGAAGGACACAGCTTTATAAACTATCCAGCCGACAAGGAACCTCACATGTCTTTACGGTTGCTATCGGTCTTAGGTTATTTCTCATAAATTACTGGAAGATGTGTTTTGCATAATCACTTCAGTGTGTTTCATTTCAGAGCCTTATCAACAGTCTTTTTAACTTCTGATTACATGAATTCATCAACCTTTGATTTGAAAGGCATCTCTCTGAATTGTAAAGCAGAGAGAACAGGCTGAGGCTCAAATATAATCCAGGCATACCCCTTCTTTCCCTCACCCTTTCCAAAATACTCCCTTCTCAGTTTGGGTGAAAACCACAATGCTGAATAAGGGAACAGAATTCTAAGCATTAATGAGCATGAGGTATGGAGATGGACATCATAATATTTAGTTTTATTCATCAAATATTTATTATGCTCAATTAAAAAAAAGTTTCACCTCTGTAACACGATTCTGAGAAAACCAGCACATGAATCTGGAAGCCAAAAATATTAATGCATCTATCAGGCTACAGGAAGCACTGCCTAAGTGAAGAATAATAGATGCAGTATTTCTGCTCAGAAAACAAATAGGTCATGACAACTGTCAGTATGTGCTCACTTTTGGTGATCCAAAAATGGTAAATGGGAAAATGGATGGATATACCACATTACTTTTCAAAACACAGGTTCTCTCAGCTTCTTTCACAGTTCATTTTCTAGATAATGGAATGCATTTTACCTAGACCACAAAAAAGCCTCTCAGAAATGCCTCACCAGAAAGGATCAGTTAGGATGAAATAAAAGCAGAATGGTAAATGGACTTAAAGCAGAATGGTAAATGGACTTTAGGTTGGGTAAGGACCTACCCAGAAAGGAAATGAAGAGAAAGTAATGGGGTTTAAGGAAGAACATTGGGACTGATTCAATTTAGAGTTTAGTTAATGATTTTGTTACAAAATACTGGTATATGTCAAGTTATCTAGAGACATCATTAATAGAAAACATGCTAAAACAGAATAAGGGGGTAGAAATGAATGATGTTGAAGATAAAAAAAAAAAAAAAATCTTCTGACCAAGAAAAATACAGAGAACTAATTCCATGAGATATTCCTACAATGATGTTCTAGCAGTGTGGACAGAAGATACTACCATCTCCAAAATGAAATGTCTCCAGCAGTGTTTAATATAGAGGACTTAATATATTCCAAAGTCATCTAAAAAGATATAAAATATATCATAGACCCACACATACAAAGTGAAAAAGGACAGAAGAGGGATTTTAGAAAACAGCACAAATAAAGCTTAATTGTCACTTATGGCCCCAGGTTTAAGGTTGCTTTTAAGAATAACTTTCCACTTAAAAGATTAGTCATTTTCAAGAACAGAGTAAAGCAGTTTAGCTTTTTTGAACACAAATAACCTTGGAAAGAGCTCATTTGTCAGTGGGAGGAGCTGGAGAACATGCAGCTGGTCTGGGATCAGTGGAAAAAATAAGAGGGACAGTCACAACAGGAACAAAATGAGTGAAAAAAATATGTACATCAACATGACTTTTAGTATTTTCTAATCTTCCAGAATACATTAATAACTTTAGTAGGAATAGGAACAAGCACAAAACTATAAAATAATTCTTCTGTAATTAAATAGATATTAAAACATAAGTGCTASCTCCCTTGTTATTTTGTAGAGACTGCTTCATTTATTTCTATAGAGTTAAACTAATTTCTCACAGAAGAAAATTTACCTCCAGAGAAGTAATAATTAGAAACKTCCACCTTAAGCAGTTTTTAACAAAATTTTCAAGATACCTTAGAGCGTTTGARATATACAAAAYGTAAACAAAACTATGTTCATACTCCACTCCTTCTGCCTGTCACATTCTCAAGTGCTGCATATTTCAGAAATTTTCAGATATCTTCTTTATTATTTTATGCTATTTATAATTTGTTATTATATAAACTACAATACAAATGAATTTAAATGCAATTCTGTGATAATGCTTAATAGAACCATAAACTTTTGAAATTCAGTTATTTAAATAATCAGTATTTTCTTAACTTTAGCACAATTAGGAGAAACGTATTTCACTTCCATAGACTTTTACCCTTGCATAAATCTTTACTTTAGACATTAGCCTCTGATAAATACCAAGTAACACAAGTATTTTTTGGAAATGAAAATATTTGAAATATAATGAATTTCCCTTATCTAGCATGGCAGTATATCATCAAAGAAGTCCAGTAGATTAGTTAGGCATGAACTCCCATGTCAAAAACATTCCAGGTATTTGTAACCAAACAAATATGACTCTTYAGATTTCATCCAATTGTTCCTTGCTTTACCTAAAAAATAAAACCCTAGTAACATAAAGTCTCTTGGCCTTTAGGGTTGTATAATAGGGGTTGAGGAGAAAGAAAAAAGTTACAAAAATAACAACAAAGGAAAACAAACATTACAAACGCTGTAATGAAACTACTAGTAAGCTATGMGAAGCATTCAATACTTTGTTCTCCATACAGTATCGGCCAGAGTATTCTTCAAGCTGCTCCTCATGTCCTGAATTTCTAACACTCTGTGTGTGCTTCAGACATGCTAGCAAGGAAAACTGCAAATACAGTGTGAATCCAGGCTTTAAACAGAATGCCATTCATGTCCAATGAAAGCAAGCCCTGTATTGCTTAGGATCTTTGCTCAYGATCCAAGAGAGCTGGAGAAATTGTCAAGCCCAACCACCAACCTGGAGGATCCACAACTGGCCCTTAGGAGGTATGCTTCAGTCCCCTACCTTGCTTTTTTTTTTGGAAAGATTTAAAAATAAGATGATATATGGAAGACTGTTTACCCGTATTTGTGCTTAGATTTTATCTCAGAGATTCATAAGCTTATACAAGGGAAAAYACCTTTAAATATGGACACATTTTGAAAAAAAACTATTAAAAGAAAAGGTCAATTACCMTCTCATACCTGTTTAAATAGTTGAAGATTAACAGCCGCTTCCAGGAACTGTTTAGTAGTACTGGAACGATGCTTTACAAAACTGTTCTCRCAAAAAGTGATAGGTTCTCCCTAAATTCAAACAGATGAGGTTAGATGGTAATAACTGTACATAAATATGATTATTTATTTAGATTCAATACAAAAGTATTTTGTAATAGATGAAAACATTCAGAAAATCAWAATGAACAGTCATACAAATAAAACAGACAATATCAAAAGGCAAATACAGTCTAGATAAAAATATTCTTACAAAATTTTAATAGTCCAAAATACATGTTGCAGTTAAACCCTGGTTTATAAAGGTTAAATCCCATACACCTTCAAATTAGTGTCTCTAAAAAGAAGGAAAAAGAAGAAAAAAAAAGGTAGTTCACAGTTGTTTCCTGTTACCTTCATTAAATTCCTCATTAAAAATTTCAAAGATGTGTTTCAAATTTTGAGGAACAGCAGGTCCTCTGCTTCAAATGATTTGAAACATTTTCCTGATACACCGGCACAGCAAAACAGCAGTACTACTAAGCAAGAACCTTCATTTGATCCAGAATCATGAACCTCCACTAAATTATTTTTATAATATATTTTTATATAAACTTGAAAACATTCAAAAAATACACTGTTAAATTCAGGAGAAATTATTGAAACAAAAGTTTAATTTTGACAATTTTTTACATGACAGCAAAAACTGTCATGTAAATTTGGGGGCTGAGGGGGAGAGTACTGTAATGAAAAAAGGTCTAAAAAGATGAGATTGACTTTTAATACAATAAAATATTTGCCTGACATGAGAAAATGCATAACCTTTGCCAAAAAATCTCCTTCAAATCATTTTATTKATGAAATAGGATAAAACCAAAGTATTCGTGGAAAAAAATATATTAATATGATGAAAACTGTATTCAATACAAACATAATAGACTCCTACATTACCTCCTAGTTCAATTTTAAAAGTAGCAATTTTCAGTGTGTTCTGACCACAGGAAGTTACTACGGGGCATTTGCTTAAATTCCATTATTTTTTCAATACTTTGTGACACTTGTATGTATTTGTTATATTTAACTGAATAAATGATATGAATTTAAAAAATGTTAAATCACAGAGTAAAAGACACTTCAGCAATATGAAAGAAAAGAAAAAGGATCAGAGATATCTGATATCTACTTTACAACAGGCGGCTTCTCAGACTATTAGCCACTTAGAAGACCAACTTGCTTATACTCATGAGGGTCCACTGGCTTCTGCTCCTGGCTTGGCTTAGCTTTAGGTAAGGAAAGGTTACTTTCCTTAGGAAAATCATGGGAATGATTTCTTTGAGKACCCCTAAATCATTTACTGCTGCTCTTTATACATCACACTTATTTTTAAATGGCTCAAACATAATCCAATGCAATGCTGCAGCAAAATCACTGTCACATCATGTTACAAATCTGTGCTGATCCTACCAAAAGCTTTCTTTCTTTAAATTTTCCTGGGCATCTTGACATATCAAAGATTAGATTTCAGACCTCTTAACAAAACACCCAAACTCAAAAGAATCTAAAACCACACAGATGTCCAATCCTACTCAGCAAAGCAATTAAATCAACGCCTAACTTGTTCTCAAGTGTCACAGTGAGAGAAAGCACTCCCACTGGAGGATCTAGAAGCTGATTTCCTGAACGTCATCCTTCCCCCTCCACGGAGTAGCAGGGAACAGGGGAATACACGAGCCCTCCTCGATGCAATACACAGAACTGTGCCCATCCAGGGCGAGGATTCAAGCTACTCCACCTACTACCCACCACAGAAAACTGCCTGCAGAAGGGAGGGAACACTTGATGCATCCACACGTGACATCTGCTGAATAACTGGCAGTGTTTGAGACTTGAACTGACCCTGCCTTCCTCATTCGCTGTGCATTACCCATCCTGGAGCTCCTAAAAACTCATCTTAGGCAGACRACCTGAAGCTATCTACTAAATTAGAACTGCATCAAAACAGATGAAATACCAGTTAGATCTGGTAGTACAAGACACCTTCCAGAGGGCAGACTTAGTTCTGTCATCCTTTCACAGATATCAAGATGGCCAATTATAAAAGCTCCTTATTTATATATGTCTTTACCAGAAGAAATGATATCTGGAAATACAGAAGCTGTTTTGGAAGAGGAGATTAATTGAGGGCTGATRTCATTCAACAAAACTTGAAACCCAGAAACTTGAAACCCCAAGAGAGAAAGGAGAAAAACATTTCCCAAAATACACTGTTCAGGAAAATAAAACCTAACCTCTGCTTCTACTATGGTTGTCTTGGGAAAGATGAAAAGTCTCGCAGAAAAGAGAACTTACATCCTTGTAGAAGAGCAAACAGGCCCTTTCTCCTCTCTTTCACACCAGCCCTGCGGCAGTCACAGCTCTGTACTTGATGGCACTTCTGCCAGGTGACAGAAGCCCTGGAGCTGGTAGCTCAACACACACTTTTAGTGCATGGTCAGTGGTGGTTTTCCCTGAATACTCTCCATTATCCATGGATACCCCAAGTACTGGGAAAGCACATATGCACTGGTGCATGTGTTGCCTTACCAGCCCAGTTCAGGAACAGAATCACCTAAGCCAGTCTTCAAACTGAAAATGTGTTAGATCTACAAAGGGTTCACATSCAAAAGCCCTCTACAGTATTCCAACCTACTCATATTAAGGTTGCTTTCAAAAATTTGGTAGGTTTAACGCTCCTGCTTATTGAATAAATGAAACCTGTGGAAACTTGAAATGCCAGGGACTTATTGCTCAGGGTATCTGCGGTAATATTACTGGAATTGCATTAAATAATAAAATTCACTTCTCTCTCTTKTTTGATATTCTGAACACCAAAATTGTTTTATAGATAAAAATGCTTTGAAAATCTTCAAGATGAAGACTGCAAACACARGGGATTTTGAAGTGCTACTTAAAACTGAAATTTATTCAGTGTAAACAAAAACAGCTCTAGAAGTTTCCTGACACGAAGCATATAACATATTCCTGCTCTGGCAAACACGGGCGAGTACTTTAGAAACTCTAAGATTTGAAGGAATGTTCCACTGATATTTAACTACTACAGCACCTAATAGCCCCTTTAGTATTGATCTACATGTACTTTCAAAACAAGTTCGATCAAAACCCAGTAGGGATTCCATACTGAAAAGCAGACAGCTAATACCCAGACCAAACAATCTATGCCCAAACAAGATATCTGTCCTTTTAACAACAGTTGCTATAGAATTTTCCTCCCTTTTCCGAGGTTGCCACACACAGCAGGAGGCTCTTCCTCCAAGCTGCACTCGCATTTTAAGCGAGCTATTTATACCGACCTCGGTGGAACATGAAACACTGAGCTAAAGCCGTGTGCTGATTTTAAAAGCAAAAACAGTCTAGATTAGAAGTTAGGTTTCTGCTTCTAAGTCGGAATGATGTTTAGCTGCAGTAGGTACTCACATTTGAATTCTTTATTTCAGGAAATATATTAATCTCTTCCTAACACAAAGATATTCTTACAGCACCTTTTGGTACTATCACTAAATTTAATGCAGTTTTATGCGGTAACTCTTGTTTATTATAAGAGTATAAGGCAGGTATAATTTCTTCAGTTTTGCATCATTTATCAGAAAAATCAATTTTTAAACAATATTTATTTTTATATTAAAACTCCTCTGCTAAAAACCAGAGCATCCAGTAGGAGCAGAAGGAAGTAAAAAGCTGGTATTTTGGCTGCTGTTATGACACCTGGAGATACAGCTCAAGTGAATAACCGTGTATGACTTAAACAATAATTCTACTCAGGAGGGTGCCAAGAAAAATTAAATATGATGAGCTGTTATCTCCTGTAGTCGCAATTAAGTCCCAGCAACGTTGGTGGGAATACAACATCAATTTTCAATAAATGGTCACTTTGGTCCTTAGCACAAATTCTAAAATATGACTCTTACATAAACTAATGTGGAAATAACTCATGGAAATAACAATAGAGTCATAGCACACGTGACACAAAGTGGCTTTGCATCTAAACACAAACTACATTCTGGCATCTGATTATTTTTTCTCTATTAGCTTCTTTTTACCAAGCATGCCTAACTCCTGGGGGAAAGGCAAACAATCAACTTATACTTCAAGCGATATTTTCTTTAATTCAGTACCATGATTAAATCATACAAAAGAACCAGTTCCAATTTTCATGGTAACTTTTACTGAGTTGTCATTTGTCATCATTTATTGCACAAAAAATACAATCATCTTTATTTCCTATCGGTATTAGAGTAGTCAATTTTTCCATATGGTCTTTTGGAGTCCCGTGAACTCCTTTCAGGACTTCTAAAGCTTCCCATTTCCCGTGTCACCAATCATATTTTTTTCAATAATTGCTAGACTTCTTTTTTTCTCCCAAGACATATTGCTAAATCAGGGAGAATCTGTCCTACGCTGAAAACAAACAGTTGCACAGAATGAGTGTTCAGTGTGATGAACAGCGTTTGGACTGAAGAGAAGTGTTGGATGCGTGCAGACGCTATCAAAGCTGTTCTTTACTCAACGTGAATATTAATGACAGTTGTTTTATGTTTCAGCTGAAAATCACTCAGAACACACTGTTGCGGGGAAAATAGTTCACTTTAAACATATTTTTGTTCTTACAAGCAGGCATTAACTACCCAAACACATTGTTTTATTTTTGTAAGGAGATTTGGTGATCCTAAAATTGATGGCCCAAAACCTCTCAGGTCTTGATCCTCACAAGATGACTAGTCTATTAACAGCAGAAGCATTTCAAAAGTATATAGAAAATCATCTCATTTAAGTATACTCCTGCAAAGTCTCTACATGAATACCATTTGAGCCCTTATCTTTGGTTTAGATTTCCTTATCAGACCTATAGTCATGGGCTCCAAAACAAAGGACAAACTTTGTTTGCAAAAGCAACACGTTCTGAGACTCCTAACAATCGGTGCTAAAATCACAATCAAGTCACAGCCATGTGTAATTTGATTTTTGAATCCCCAAATTCCCAAGTATTAAACTGAATTCAAATACCTCATATAAGATGAATCAAACCATTATGGGGCTCAATGACTACTGATTACTACTAATTTAGAGGAAATTCAACTTCTAATAATACCTTCTATCCCAAAAGTAATTCTGCAAGACATTACATTCATTAAATAAGGCAATGAGTAATTAGAATATTAATGTATACATAATATAATAATATACAACTGAAAGTAATAAAGTGAAYATTCACACTTGGAAAAAAAATCCAGAATTTAACAGTCATTTCAAACTTGCTCTTGGGACAAGTAATACCAATTCCAGATATTTACCACTGGGCTCCTATTCAAATAACATAACTTAAATAAAAAATCATACTACAATGATATCATTAATATAGTGTCTTATGTAAAATCACTGGAGTCCAAAAATAATAGTAATATTCAAAAGAAAATGCTTGAAAAATGCTCGCCAACTGAAAGCGTGCATTAGCTCCAAACACTGGAAATGCAGATACTGGATATGGATGCACATTAAGCAGCAAGTTAAGAACAGAGATGACTTGGACACACTAACCAGAATCCTAGAGATGTCTGCACATTTGCTTCAGGCTTACTGAAACATTAAGAATTGATTCCAGCCTATTCCTGACCAGAAGAGAGTTTAAGACCATCAACCAGAAAGACGTAGTTCTGTTCACATACATCACACGTAGATTAAGAAACTCACAGTCTTACAAGCTCTGAATGCAGACTGCCACCGCTGACACCGATCGGGGTCCTCACCTTCGCACTCTGGGGCAAATGAGATCCCCCTTCTGAAGCAGCACTAGGTAACGCCCGTGTGGAACAAACAACTACCCACTTTGTTCAAATGATCTATTAATGAAATTCATACCCTCTTGGATGCTAGAGATTTGGAAATTAGGCCCAGTTATTTCAATATACTACAYGACCTGGCTTTCCATATCAAATGAGAATTGTAATGACTAAACACAATTATTTGGACTAAAGCCTAAAACATTTCTTCACTCCTACATGGGTCACTTTTCATCGCAATAAAAATGGCTGTCAATTGCATAGACAGCTAGCAATGCTCCCAGTCAAAAAGACTACTTGTAAGATAACTACTTGTGTAGGAGAAAGACCATCCCACATCATCTTTCACTATTTTTCATCTAGGAAARGGCCTCTTCTGTAAATAAACCATTCTATCCATTCCTCTCACAGATACACAAACACCAGTTTCATGCATTTACCACCTCCACAAAGGGCCATCTTCTCTTATCAGATATCTTAACTATCCTGAAATCTGACCATCAAACAGTCTGAGCTGAGATATGAACATTAAAAATATCAGATCATGAGAAGCTTAATCAGTCACTACCATCTCAACGTGTTTCATCAAATGGAACTCAGTATAAGTAGTCTGCAAATACAGCAAATTACTTCAGGCTCACAGTTTAAATGAATCTCTCCATATTATCTAGTAAGTTATTTTACCTCTAACAGGTACAGTATGTGCCAGTSATTCTCATAAATCAAAGGATGAAAGCCTGTAACATCTGTACCATCTGGCACGTACCAGCAAAACCTTGGAAATACAAATTCTTAAGTTGTGATGAGATGGACTGGGTGTTCATTATGTCCAAGTTTTCAGTGAAATCAAAATAAGTGCTTTATGGGAAAGACGTATGTCTGATTTGTCATCTCTAGCTACTACTACTGAAAAACTTGGCTCCAAGTAAGCACCATTCTTGAGACTCATATGAGAAAAGAGAGACTTCAAGACTTCAAAAGGCCCAGACTTTTCAGTTCTTCACTTCATAAATCAAGGTTAACTGTTTAAGTAGCTTTATCTATTYAGTGCATTATATTAGTCATACAAATACTAAGGTAGCTGAAAATGGACATACCTTTATTTTCCAGTACAACTAACCAATATGAGATAGAAGTGTCTTCTAAACTGCCAACTTACCAGCTTGCAGTAAAAACTAAAACCTTTGCCTGGAAACACTTCTGATAGTTGTGATAAAGAATTATGTATTTTTCTTGCAAAAGAATGAGCCTAGGTTCTTATAAATTAAGGGRAAAAAAAGAATTAACAGAAAGGGCTTACTGGTTTGTATCTTAGTGCATCTCTGTAGGATCCGAACAGTGCTGCCTGTGCCCGAAGAAAGGCCTTTGCGACTCCATCGCCCGTAGCTGTAGACTGCTTTTTCAGTTTATTTTTCAAGGCCGAGACCTGCATGACAGAGTGGTACAGTTAAATTAACACCTCAGAAATTGGTACAGCGAGGTATGAACCCAATCAGCAGGCAAACCATGGTGTCTACAGGTCAGCCAAAACTTCATCCTCCTTCTTGATAGCTTATCTTTTTAACTGCAAAGAGCACCTGCTGGTCTGTTAATTGAAATGAAAGCAGGAGATGATGGTAGAGTGCTAATGCAAATTGGTTTATGCTCTCTTTTTTTTCCCAAGGCCTCTTGACATAAATAAGCTTAATTATTTTGCAATAAACTGCTTGTGAGCCACTTTTTTCAGATTTTTTTCCAGTCATAACATGTACCTRCTTGTGCTGAATGAAGCCAGTAGGGTATTTTTCATTTATGCTATGAAGGCATATTTTTAAGGACTCTTCAGGTTGACATGTAACTCATTTCAGGGGATTTTTTTAATGTCAAATTACTAATATGTGAAATTTCTCATATGAGATCAGTTCCTACCACTGTCAATTTAGCTGAGAAAAATTTGTGTTTGTGAAGTGATACATGGTCTTTAGAACAGTTCTCATGGATAAAACATGTGAATGGGGAAAAGCAACATGCTTACAAGGCAACTGTATTAATAAATAATTTTGTATTTTAGTGTTCCGATTTTAAGGAATCAAATAGCAATCTCTGACTATACAGAACTGAAAATAGAAATATTAATTTAATATTCATTATTTTRTTAAAGATGGCTTGAAGAAAAATCATATAATTCTGGAATTCTTACAGTGCTGTTTAAAGATATGTGGAATAATACCCAAGTATAGTTTATTCTTGCCTCCTAGCTTTGATCAAGATGATAATCTGCAGAAATTAGTCAACTCTAATTCTTTGGAATATAACTTCCTATATCCCTTGGCATTATAATATACCCGATCAAGCGATATCTAAGCCATTAAATAGTACTTGAAGTAGAGTTAAAGTAACTCTTTAAGCAAGGCAGTATAAGCACAAAATATTACACAAACAACTTCCATTCTTCTAGCAATGTATGCAAGAGTGAGTATCTTTGTGTTTCTTTATGCAAGCAGTCATGACTGCTCTTGTAGATGATGATTGTAATTGAAGTGTCAACCTAATTAACAACTAAACTTTGAATAATGCTAATGAGAACTGAACATGGCATCAGAGAAAAGACCAGCTCTACAGGTGATAAACCTTCACAGTAGTGACATTTTCCAGTGTAAAGTCACAGTTACTGTGATCTGATCAAAGAGAGAGACCCCCATTGGGTCCAATTATAACTATAGTTTTGGAAAAAAAATTATTGAGTTATGATGTTCATAATCTATGCAGAAAGGCCTTTACAGTATAGGTCTTTTCCCCATAGCTGTGATCTTTTCGATTTATATCCAAGCTCCATAGATCTAGATAAAAGTTTAGAGTCTGATTCGTTTAGCCCACGGAAAGCACACACCAATGCTCATTTACGTTTCTTCCTTCCACCTCAAAAGGGAAAAAAAAAAAGTACAATTCAGAGTACAAAAACCAGTTAGGCAGTTCAAGGTTGAAAAAATAAGTGCTTGTCATTTTACTTTCTTTGTTCTGCAGGGCATTATTATTTTAAAGTTATTAAAATAAGGTTCAATTCCAGGGAAAAGAAATGTATACATCCTCTGTAAAAGGGAAATCCGTCCATCAATGTCAGCTTACTTCCCCTAAAAAAAAAAAAAAAAAAAAAAAACCCACAAAAAACAACTCAAACAAACAAACAAAAAAAAACTACTTTTCCTCCCCTAAAGTAAATTTCCATTTTTTAGGTAGAAAATTCCTCTTGTATTTTGAATTTGAATTTCTGGTAAATTATATGCTATAAACAATGATTTGGAAAACAAACAAAAAAATAAAAACTTCATATATTTTTTCTTTAAAAGAGCCTTGTGCTTAGTGGGTTTTTGTTGTTGTTGTTGCTGTTTTTTAGGAAACATTACAGTACTTTGGTTAAAAATGAAAAASCTAAAAAAAAAGTGAAATTTTACTTGCAAAACATAATCAAATCCAGTTTCCCAAAGACATAAACCACACCGCGATACCATCAAATGAAAAAATATTGAGAAAAATCTTTTAAAAGATTTGTTGAATTCAAGTTACCTGATTACTAGACTTAAACTAGCAATAGTTTTCACAAGAAAATTATGGCTTGTATACAGAGAACAGGGTCCAACTCAGTTTTTCAGGACTGCTTTCCCATTAAATAAGAACACGCCCCTTCCACCACAGAGTCCCGCACTGAAGGGGGACCACGGGACCATTGCTGACATTCAGCTCCAGGGACATTCACAGGACGATGCCCAAACGCCCTGCCCAGCTCTCACAATTTGGCAGCAATCCCTCTACTGCCTCCTGGTCTCAGTTTCCCTGCTGACTCAACCAGACTGCTCTGCAAATCGCCTGTTAGGTTAAGTCTCCTAAGCCCAGCATAAGCTCTACCAACATTGAATAGTTTACATGCTCCTGGCTCGTAACACAATTTCAACAAAGCTTTTGATAGTCAAGTATTTATGAAAATAATAAAAATAAAAAAGACAAGCTATTGCAAAGATGTATCTTCATTTCAATTTATGCAAAGCTTTATTCTACGATAAACAGTATTAATATTTTTCTTTATGAATAGTTGCATCGTTTTTGGTAGGTAAAGACACAGCACACACATCGGTAAAAGGACCACGGAAAAGGAACAATATTTCATATATTTTTATTGGAGAAAAAAAAAAAGACAGTGCTGTGCACTGTGAAATGATGAGTTTGGAGTTACTATGGCAGATTGTAAGAGGTGATAGGAGGCGATAAGGAAGATGTAGGAAAACTTAGAGGATAGAGAGAGCGATGGCAAAGCAAAATGGAATATTCTGATTTTTTCAGATGTGACAAACACTAGTCACCCTAAAATAAATCAGTTAATCAGGAAGTTTTAACCAAATTCCAATCACCCAGTCCACTGCAGTATTGACAGCACCTTCTCACATGCTATTAGTTCAATAACATTAAGAATCTCCCAAGAGATTATCACCTTGAAGGTGGGGATGCTCTGGCACAAATGCATGCAAGAATGCTACGTACTCCATGATTTAATCATGTTTTAACACAGCTAGGAGATACATTAACACACTGCCATCAAGTTTTTGCCTCAGAAAGTCTATCCTGGAGTCAACAGAAAGTTCCTCCAACTTCTGCCTCTCGCAGGAAGCCATAGTAAAGGACAGGGAAAGCCCTCGGATTATCCTGTGGAAGTGCTAGGAGCACAATGTTCTTGAGGAGAGCCTACCAAGATGACATGGGGTGGAGGGAAGGGCAAGTAGGGTGATAAAGCAAATGTGATGACCTGAAGGGCTCGCTGGAGATGAGACATTTCTGTGCCTGGGTGGAGGCCACACGCACACGGCTCTCGGAGATGCTCCCCAGGGCCCAGCCACCACAGCACAGTCCTGCCGACCCACTCGTGCTCCCTTGCTGCCTGCCCACATCCCCTTCCTGCAGAAGTCCAAAGGCTGGTCCTCTAAGGAGCGCAGAATGAACCATCCTTAATACGTGCCTACCTAAACCTCAGGGGCTGCGAGAYCGCTGCAGAGATAACCAGTCATTTCCTTGGGAGGGAGTTGTTAGGCTTTACATCACCTCTCATCATTCTCCATYAAACCAGGTCACTATAAAAGTGAAGCCATTCTCAAAAGTGAGAGGGTGAGAAGTGAATAACAAAAAAACTCACAACAAAATGAAACCCGGTACTATTTAAATCAGCATTGGTAATGAAAAGGCTTCCACCTAGTTTCTACATCTATGCACATGAAACTCTTCTATCTCACCTAGACCTCCAGCATTTAACCAAAATATTCATCGAGATTAAAACATATACTTAAATATAAATATCTTCAAAATTTGGTGTATTTTTAAATCAGATATTCTACCTCCTAAAATTATATCAAGGTTCAATAGAATCTCAAAGCTTTGTTCAACACAAACAATTGCTGGTAACGACACTAGCACTGCTAACTGCTCTTGGTTTCTAAAATATTTTCTGATTGAAAAACATGATAAATTCAGACATTTTATTTTTACATCACATCTTTTCAGCTGCAATGTCAAACATTGACCATAACTTCTTTACTATACCACTAATCATTGTCTTTTCGGAAACGATTTGCACTCCCAGTGTTTATTTTATAAAGCAGCTGTTTGAAATTCTACATGAATTACAGCCTACTTCTGAAATGCTACTTTTTGGGCAGCAATGTTTATCCCAATTTATGATGTTAAAATACTTAGAAATCTAAAATAAAACTCATATAAAAAATGTCTCTGTAATGTTTATGCAATCTATGCTATAAAGGCTGCGCATCTTGGAACTGCTGTGCTGATTTTACTGTCTGTTAATTATATTTAACAATTACAGAGGATGCTATAAACCCACGGAGATTATTTCTGGAAGATCATACTTATGAAAGCACATAAGTAACCTAAAAAAAGCACAACCTAAAGTTTACTCTGAAATACATAAGATTTGGTTGCCAGAGGCGATGCCCTCAGTGCTCCACATTTTTATGAAAATGCTCAACTTTGAACAAAGGATTGCAACCTTTTTGCCAGAGCTAACTGCAAGTAGGCGTTGCAGGATCAGGCTGCAAGTTTATAAATCAGTGCACACTATAGACATTTATAAATTTATAAGCATCAGGAAAAGCTCTCTTTTGCTCTAAGGTCTTATGGTCTGACCCAAGTATTATTGCATTAGGAAATTTACGCACACAGAAGTAGCTACTTATTTTCACTTTTTTATTAAAAAATAATAGACAAATCCACAGTGAAATGATGAAATCTAAAAACAAGTGTTCTTGTCAGAAGAGAGGAAAAGGAGGGGTTTTTTTTTCTCTCCTCTGAGAAAACAAAGGATTCCTGAAAGTCTTGCGCTGATTTATTTTTCCAATTTTAAATACGTTAGGAGTAGCGGAACTGCTACTGGCATGGTAGTATTTCTAACAGTCAATAAATCTAAAATATTATGTGTGAATATTGGAATGAAGCCATTAAGAAGATTACAGCATGCAACGCAGCAGAGGGTCCACATGAAAAAAGGACTGGTAATTCAGGACAACTGTGACCACTGACCTTTGAACAGTCAGGACCACTGGTCAGTCTGACAGAATAATAGAGTTCACATGAACAGAAAGTCATCTAGCCTGTAACTATAATTTAAAAACTTAAGTGAATGATTTAAAATGCCTTTTAAATCTCAGTTAATTTATTACACAGTTTATTACACAATATCATATAATAATGTTTTTCAATCTTAAATTTATCACAGAAAAATAACAACTGGAGCATTGTAGTAGACATATTGCTATACATATAAACATATGTGCAAGCACCTATGCACTGAGAACATTATCATCAGGGTTATTGATCAAGAAAGTAAATATTCAATTTGCTTTAGACAGAGGAAACAGTTGTGGAATACCCTTTGAAAATACTGCATTTGTTTTGTTAGGCTGTTAATCTATCAGGAACCTCTTTTTCAAAGGGATGGCAAGTCTACAGCTTCTTTTGTATTTTTAGTACTTCGTCTATTTTAACACCCTTCAACACTAGTCCTGCTTATTATATTTTTTCAGATCYGAAGTCTTATTACTTTCATACTTACGCTTAAAAGTCTAATTTATATAAGCTTAAATGCTTCACCTTTGACCCCTGTTTTTATGTTTTAAGTTTATCCTACCATTTTTGTTCTACACCTCTATATTTTATACATTTTAACCCAGATGTTAGCAGTTGCACCGATCCCGATGAATGCAGGGGGACAAACATGCTGTCATTTTATTTGCCACAACATGGACAATGTCTTTTCCTTTTGTTGCCAGGATTTTCACCTAATAATTGGATATATTGTTTCTTTAAACTGCTTTAAACAAACTGTTTTACAGTCTGAGGTCGAGAAAGAAATGGGGATCTACACATTTACATCTTTTTTCATTATAAAATCCTCAAATAGAATTCTGCAACTATGCTGCATAAAACAGTTGTTCTGATGCATTCCATACAGGAAAACATATTAAAACATTTTAAATCTATTATACAGTCTACATGCTTAGATAGCATTCATTAACATTAATAGTAGTAACATGTATACGTCCTGGGGGAGAACATACTTCTGAAATGTATGAATATCTGTAACCTCTATTTTCTTCATGCTAGCCTGCTCGATCAGAGATCATTTTGATAAGCAGCCCTRAAACACAAGAGATGTCCCTCTCGTTCACTGCACAAATACCCACTTTTGCTGCTCAAGATCCTCCAGAAGGAACTCGGGCACGTTATGGGAAACGATGCCCAGTTCCTAATTGTACATCCAGCTATCATTTGACAAGTACGTACGTTCTTCCATGACATCCTAACCTCAACCTTTCCCACTGAATGCAGGGTCAGTTAAAACTACCGACACATCAGAAAATTATTTTTTTTTCTTTTTTACTGAACTTGTTATACTACTCTAACATAGAGCATATTTTAACTTTTCATATATACACACGTATGCATGTGTATCTGCTTTTTCACCCAGTAATATAAAAGCATATAGCATCAGAATAATTCACATACCRTCAAGTTCTTTTCCTTTTCTGAACTACAGATACCAAGAACAAAGAAAACGTTGACCAGATAATGTATAAAAAACCCTAGATTTTAATACTACTATAAAAGGGAACTGACATTAATGTAATCATGATTTTGGTTTCTGTTATTTATGTGTATCTCTRTACATAAGCACACACACAACACCAAAATCTTTTTGATTACACACACAAATATATATATATATATATGTGTAAGTGCACATATATATATTTACGTGATCGTGTATATACACACCCACACAAATTGCCAACAGAAACAAAGMACATGGTATGTCAGTGTGCTGCCTTACTTCGATTAGGGCAGTTTGTTTTTACAATTTACAATTTCAGAAAATGCAATTCTTTGATTATTTTGATATCAAATTCTTTGTGCTGACATCAATTTCATGAGAGCTTGAGCATCTATAACTTAATAAGCAAAACAGTGGTTTTAAAGGATATTCTTTTAGTGCTCTACTGGGAAAAAGAGGATAAGTCAATTTTGTGAGTATTTAAAACGATATACAGAATACGTTCCCCTATAGGCAACAGGAAGAAAAAAAGGGAGTGGGGGGGAGGAGGGAGGACCCTCTGCAAGATCAAAGTCCAGAAAGAACTGGCACTTAATTTATCATCCTTTACAGACAAAAGACAGTTTTCGTCATTTCAAAAGGATCAGATGTCTTTTATGACAAACTGGGTTTGCAGTTTAATTTACAAATAGAATTCTAAGTAAGCAGTCTTTGCTCTGCCAAAGCAAATGACAAACAGTATAGGTTTTCATTCACGCAGCCCTCAGCAGGATAGAAGAGATTAAAATAAAACTGAAATAATTTAGAGAAAACAAATAAATGTTTCAGAAAGTTGAGGAAGATCAAAGCCTGAATTTTCTGACCCCAACTGTACAAGCATTTCTTATTATATTGACCAGTGCCATCAGATCATTAATTAAAAGGAAAGCGCTGGCAGGTGGCAGGGAAGCAGAAGCCGATAATTGGCCCCCTTCTTCTTTTTGCCTTCAAAAATTCTCTCGTTCTTTTGCAAGACATGCCACTAGGCAGACAGAAATGCCTACTTTGTAATATAATGATTAAGATGAGATGAAGAGACTCTTGCGTTTAAAGCAGCTCTGCCTAATGAATGCAGCTAGCTTTATAATTACGATCCTACTTTTACAATAAGGAATATGATGTTCCATTCAACATCTCCTCAGCTGTCAAAAAGGGAAAAATCTCAAATATGGGGGTCTACAGTTGGCGCTTTTCTGTCCCCTTATTCCTTTTACCGCAGCTAGCAAAACCAGGCAAAAATAACTACTAGTAATTCAAGCAAATAGATGAGAAAGAAAACCCATGAAATATCCATAGGACTCACCACTTCACTAGGTAGGTTGTTCAGGTCATTAAAAGGGGTTTCTAGAATGTTTGTGTCAACATTTAGCAAAACCACGTCTTCCAGGGATCTGTTTTTTACTCTCTGTTGAATAAAAAAACAACAGTGTAAAAGCATTTTACTGTCTTAACGCACATTTTTATTACAAAGTGGTAGATTTTGTAATTGGTAGAGAAATTATGCAGTAGAGAATTTATAATTTTGCAGAGGATAAAAAAGACAAGATCTTTATGCCTTACATGTAGGATTTGTGAGTTAACTACAAGATTCAAAGGAGTTTTTAAAAACCCTTGCTCTTCAGCAAACAGTGAAGTTTTATCGGTAACCTCTGAAATACAACAGCAGTCACAGAATGTACTCCTGAAATCCATGAATTACATAAAACAGTTAAAATAGTATAACTATAGATTCCTTAGGACACTGTTTCATTCTTTTATATCAGGGAAAATCAGATATGATATTAATCATACAACCAAAAAAAAATCACAGCAAACTAAGTAGGATTTGCAGATTTATGTATGTTCCAGGTACACGATGTCTGGTATCACAGCAGAACAGATGAAAGAGTCTTTCAGGAATGCAGTTGAGTAGCAGATAAGAATTAAATAATTTGTTCCTTTCAGAACAGAACAGCCAGAACTCTCTTCTACATGATCCTGAAATAATAGATGATATTACACTCCAGGAAATAATTCCAGATGGAATACGGAGACTTCATTTTTAGGCAAAGCCCATTTCCTCAATTTTTCTGATGAAATAAGGAAAAAGATCCAAGTCAAGATATTAAGATCAATGTGTKCAGACCATAAGAACTTGTCTTAAGAGAATAGAAGAATCTGCCCAGAGTTCAGAAGTACAGATGACAGAAGGTTCTTTTCTAGAAGCAGAAAAGTGCTAGTGGCCCAGAATGAGGAGCATCTACCTCCTCAGCTGAGCAGATAGAGCCTTCATCATCCTCGGAAATCACTTCCAGAGAAAGTCAAACCAAATAAAGCTCCTGAATCAATTATCTATTTCGCATGATAATCAGACTACACACACCGGGCCAGGTATGTTTTTTAAATGGTCTGGAAAGATACCAAGCAATGTCCTGTGCCCCAGCTACTTAACACTGCTCACATGAAATTTTATTGTTTTATTGTATTTTTACACCTGAAAAAGCTACTTCTTGCTTTCTAGCAAAAAATTACTCTTGTGTCTGTTATCACTGGCTGAATGTAAGATACTCTCAAAAGGACAGGAGCACAAATTATTTGGAAACTCAGAATGATGTTGACTTTTAAGTGATGGGTACTTCAAAAGAGTTTTAATTATTCTTGCTATCAGGAAAATCTGCATTTTTTTCAGCCATTTAAGGAAGGCAGAAACACCTCTGAGGCAGGAAACAGAATCAGAAACAAACCATGATTTAGGCYTTACATGTCAGTATTAAATGCTTCAAAAAGTAAGATCTCGGACACATTTTTACTCAGTAAAGCTTCTGAAGCTTAAATATTTTTGCAAAGCAAATATGAGGGAATCTTTCTAAAGTTCTTCCATTAAAAATATTATTTATGGTACACGCTTCTCAGGCTTAACAGCACTCAGACATACTGCAAACAAAGAAACCTACTCACCTCTATTAGGCTTAAGTGGACGCCAATTAGATACGGCATTGGTGCACTGAAGAAGGAAAAAAGAGAAGAACAATTATTTTTTGAAATAACTATTAAAAAGGTTGTACAGCAAAAAAAGGGTATTTAAAAACCTTGCATATCTTTCAACCACACAATTACATATTTAACTTTCATTGCTTAAGTCTCTATTAGATGCATACGCATAGCTGACCTTGAAAGACCTATTACTAAGAAAAGTGTTATTAATTTTTTACTCTATGTTAAAGAAGGCTACTAAACTAGTCTCTTCCTAAGCTCAGCAAGAAGGAGCTGCAAGTTGGGTAAGGCCGGCTAGCCGGGCTGCCTGCGGTCTAACCTGAAATGGATATTCCAGAAGTTGCCTGTTTCTAGAACTGGGAGGGATTTCCAASACCATCCTGGGCAATGATTTCTCCAGGGGCATCCTAATGTCCTCGGTGAGATGACCACGCTGCGATGCAAATGCCAGCAGCAGCTCCCAACCCGCTCACTGCAAGCTGCATATATACTTTAATATATACATTAATGTTTCATACTGACAGACTGAGATAAAGCAGCGCCAGCACRGGGAAGTAAAAGAAACCTTTAAAATTTTCAATGTGCAAAATGCAGGAGATGAATTAATACCAATCCGCCTCTGCATTATGGAGGCARGGGGACACAGGGAAAAAAGAAACATCCCGACACAGTGGGACACAAGGCACACTCGTGTTACAGGAATATTAATTTTACAGCAGCACACAAACTGGCTGCAGTTGCTGCCAGGAAACAACTGAATTGTGTCAAGAATCACAACTTGCAGACAGAAATTCACCTTTCTATATCCATCATGCCTCYTCATATACAAAATGTGCTGTCTAACAGTGCTTGGTGGGTGAGATCCGTGCGCTCACTGGGAGTGTTCTCGCCAGTGAAGTGAGCTAAGGCCAGGCTTGGCTAAGCAGCTCCGTGGGAAATGAAATACCAAGGCAGCATGCAGAAAATCTAAATAAAATTAGTCACTGAAAAAAGGCAAGATCAAGATCAACTTGTAAAGTTACTCAGATCTGCTGATATACAATAACTCCTTACATTGTGCTAATTTGCTCTTGTATCTAATGCTCACTGAGGTTCTGCCTGATGCAAAGACTCACTTTCTGTGACCTAGAGAGAGACTTTGCTGGATCAGCTCATGTGGCCTCATCAGTCCAGTTCCGAATCTGGAGCAAAAGTAGCAATTCTCACCTGCCCATGACTCRGGTCACTTTTAGAAAAATCTGTATGCAGTATGGATTATCCAACTGCTCTCATTAATAGTGCCCCTTGGGGAAATATTGATGCAAGGAAACTCTGACTGACTGAAAACAAGTTTTCATTATGTTTGAAATATCAAAAAAACACAAGAGGTTGGTGAGGCTGGAAGGTTCTTTCTGCAAAAAATCATGGTTTGGGGTTTCTTGGCCGTGGGAAGGAGGCTTCCAAGAAAGGGACATGGTCCTCACCCATCTGTTTCCTAACGCAATACTGCAATATTTCAACACCTCTCAACCACTTCATCCAGGCTGGGGCCTTATATATTTGTTGGACTATTTTTGTTCTGTAAAGCAGCATTTAAAAAGTCAGTGATTTTCTCCAATGATAAACATTTTTTTTTTAAGCGTTTATCTCTTTTCTGTAGAATTAGACAACACGGAAGAAACAAAGAGCAGAACAAAAAGGAAAAAAAATAGGTAGATAAAAATTTCTTGAAAATTCAGGAAATAAAAAGTGCAGGTATAGAATCATTTTCAGCACAGGATGCATTTTATTAACATTGGATTATAAAGCCCAAAGAGCAGCGGTTTGTAATATGCACATGAAATTGCTCACTACAATACTACTGGGAGCTGCTATACAGTTTTTATCTTGCTTATGCATGTTGTTACCAAAAATGTTATTAATCTACAGCATCATTTCCTCAAATAAGTACTATGTTATGCAAAACATGGAAGTTAATTGGAAAATAACTGACCCATTCTCAGGAAAACAGGCTCGCATATATTCAAATTCAGGAGAGACCAAATTTCATAAAAAGACACATTGAAACCCTATCTTGAATTTTCTGATTGCATTACATTCTTAACGGAGCTTCAGCAGAACAGATGCTTTCTCATCCACAGACAAAACTGTCAKACATTTTTGTGACTTAGTTTGCCAAGAAATTATACAGAAGATTCAAAGTAATTATCTCTCTTCTTTACAAAAAAAATAATTTTATTACTATATCAATGCTCAAACCTCATTTTTTATAAAAAGCATTTTTGAAGCCAAGACACTCTTTGGGATGAGTGCAACAATATCTTTTTACCTCCTGAAATAACTGAGAAAATGATTGTGTAAACAAAAAAATTCAGAAAAATCTTTCTTTATGTACTCAAGAGTACGATCTTGGAAGCATATGTTATTTCTGTCTATTTTCCTCTTTTAGAGCTAAAACAAATAATTACTTTCACTGTCTAACATTTTACTGTCTTTTAGAAAAAGGAATGGATCATAACTGTTTTTTTTCTTTTTTAAATGCCTGTTCCAAGTCTCATTTGCCTGTGAGAGCTCAAGACCTAAGTTAAGCTATGGGGAAGCTACATAACTAAAATAAAACCGCATGTTCACACACAGCACCTTGTACTGGACCAGCCCCGATGGCTTTACAGTCTACACTGATGCTCTAAATCTGTGTCTTTGGACCACTCCAGCAACATCTGATCTTATCTATAACCAGCCTGAATATCAGATTGCCTCACAGAATCACAAGAGACTTGCTGACTAAAAAGGTAAGTTGCACAGTTTAAATAATTTTTCAATATAGTTAGGCTTTAAGATGTATTTTTTCTTTTTTTCAGACCCACAAAACATACTAGCTGGATACTTCAGGTAATTTACCAAATTCTAACCTCCAAGCACCATATCAGTTAACTCTAAAAAAGGCCTAAATTTTGTAGCCCAACCTGCCACAATAAAATAAACGGATTAAAAAGTTGTGTTGGATAATTCACATAGAAAAAAAATGCAGGATCAGGGTGTATACCTATACGTACACCAGTCAATATTGAAATGCATTTTATCTTTATTGATATTTATTATGTTTACAAGTGGATGGACTGCCTTGGATTATACAAAATTAATGAATGATAATCCCTACTCTCTTTATACAGTCAGCATTTCAGAACTATGTGAATAAGATAATGCAAGTACATGGGAGATACCACAACCAAGTCCAAATGTTCTGGGGTATGAATATGTATGTCCAGAAAAATATCAAAAATGAAAAGATACTAACAAGTCCAGAAAAATGGTTATATTCTTTTTGAATTGACAAAATCATCTGAAACTGAGTATTAGGCTAGTTCAACACAAACTTTGGTCCTAAAAGTATATCCAGGTTTTCTAACTCAAGATAGTATATGCCTAAGAGGAAAACACTTGGTTCACTAAGAATTTTAGGTTCTTGCTATAGTATCCCAGGACCCATTACAGTATATCTGATAAATCATTCAAAGCAGATATGATCAGATAGAAAAAGATAAATCTATGACAATCTAAATAAAAACGCCCAATTTATAGCCCCTGTGAGAACTTCATCAGGAGTGCATTTCCTTTATGAATTTTATGTTTTTATTTGAGCATCTCAAAAAAAGAAAAGGAGGGGGAATATTTTTCCCCTGCTATTGTACTAGAGTATAAAAGAAAAAGGGATATAAATGAGTTCTACAAGTCTAAAAAACTCCATGCTTCCTTTTAATGAGTTAAAGAAAAAACTCAGGTCATGACATAATGACCCAGTATCTCCACTATTATCATCATCCTAGGAAATTGTGTACAGCATCTAACATTATTATTCCTGGAGACATTATCTGTGCTGAGGAGGAGAAATAAAATATCCTCCAGTATTCAGGATGCACTCTGCAGGGAACAGCTTGAGAAAAGGGGCTGATCTACCTTCCTTCTGATAACAGCAGTTCTGGATGGTGCTAAAGAAAATACAAAGCTTCTGATGATAAGTTCAACTAACACAAAAACCAAACAATTGCATTCAAGCTATACTCCCATCTTGGTGCATTTTTCTCAAAACAAGGAAAGAAAACAATTAAGGCAGCATTTCTCCAAAAGAAAAGTGTCATGAAAGATGAAAGACTTAGCTGCAGTTGAAAGACAAGACTAGGGGGAGAATATTTGATTTATTTTTAAAAACAATAAATAATTTACATAAGAAGCAAAGGAGCTACCAAAGAGGGGGAAAGAAAAATTTATCACAGGCAAATATTGTAAAGTCGATAAAAAACTATCAAAGGGACTTAAAGAAATATAACAAGATTTTTTTTTTTTTCCAAAACATGAAAAGTGCAATGGACTGGGTGGAGTTAAATGGAACATGAATATTTACAGGTTCTAGAAAAATAACACAGCCAAACAAGCATACCAACAWAATTTCTGTGAAGAAAAATATTCATAACAGAAAAATTCCTTGTTAGGTATCTAAGTCAGCTTTTGTACACTTTAATTCTTGATCTGTAAAATCGCTTTAAACAGTTTTAAATTGTTTTGGCTTTCCACAATAGACTCATATGTATTTAAAGTCAAAGCCTCCAGGGATGGATGCTYCTGTATTACACGCTTTAATGCAACTCTCATTTGGTACCTCTGAAACTACTACAAATAAAGGAAAGTAAATCCTTTCTTTGGCTGAAATCTTAAAACCCAGGCACTTGGAAGAGAAAATTTATCTAACTATTCCAGTGTAGTAAATAACAACCATCAGAAAAGCAATTCCTTGAAGGATCAGAAATACCCTGAGAAGTGATGATTTCTTTTTGGAATTTAAAAGTCTTTCAAAAATATAAAGTGTCTTTTGCGAATAGARTTTTCAACGGGAGGATATGTAACCAAAGAAATTCTTATGACAATAAATTTGGAGATCATAATCTAGGATTTTCGGAAAGAGCTGGATATAGTCTGAACCTGGCGGGCCTCACAACAGAAGACGGAAAAAATACAAATGCTAAATTGTTCTGTAGACTTAGAAGACACAGAGATGCCTCCTAGTATTTGATTCCATTGACACAGGTAATTTTTAATGCTTCTTTCAATATTTTTACTTAAGATTAAACATCAAATAAATTAAAACTATTAACAACAGTTATATTTAAATTACTGAATGTTTTCTCTAAAAATAAAACATGAGCAGTTATTATACAAAAGACTCTAAATGCTACCTTGTACCTCAAGGTCCGAATTCAAAACCTCATCAGRTTTAAGCCATGGCCTAAATGCTTTCATAAACCAGATGCTGTATATCTAGTCATAAAAATATCCATGGTTTTCAGGAGTTAATCCATGTTACAAAGGACGTAAACCTCTCAGAAAGGAGGATGCCAGGTTAGGTGTCTTACCAGCAGTAGTCCAGAAGATGGGCAGGAAGCACTGGGATGTAAATGTGCTGCCAATACATGGGATATAGCAACGCAGCTGACGCATGAACRCAAGCAGTTAACTGAAAACAAAAGCATATAAATAGATTTGGCCAATAAGCATGAACATTAAGAAGAAAATGCAACATTATAAGTTAATTTTGAGATGTTCAAGAATCTTAACTGTCACAAACCTCCCACTATAGCTTTTTAAAAATTATTTTAATTGTTTAGATGCACTTAGGCACTCTCAGATACACACACAATTATCACATTTATAAAGTGCAAACTGATAGGTAACATGCACTTGTTGCACTAAACTCCAGAGCAGGATTAACCCTGTTTTATGCCACTATTTTTATTTTGAAACTACATATATATATATATATATGTGTATATACATGCACTCCTACACACATATACACAGATAACATACATAAAATAATTTAAAGCACACTTTTCCCATGACAGCAGACTAACTTTATTTTCCCTAAACCTCTCCCCAAAAGAGAAACTGTAAAGCCTGGCTCCAAAACGCAGGTGCTCCCCTGAGCAGGACRCAGAGGTGTCACAGCCTCTTACCACTCAGCAAGGAAACGGCTGGGAACGAGATCTAAAGCACTTCTCCAGTGAACAAAACAATTTGAAATACACGACGAAGAGCTCGAATTTGACACCGCAAACACTTTGTTGCTGCCAGGGGGTCTATATTCAGCAAACACACCAATAAAAATCTCGCAGACATATGGCAAGAGGAACTTGGCTCCGAAGAGAATTTGGGAAGCCCAGGCACRGGACCTCGTGCAATTTCCCCGGGACACAGGAGGTCACATCCAGAGGGCCACTTGGAGCATTAGCTCCAAACCATACTCCCCTTGTGCTTTATCCATCTAGGGAGCTCCCCTCGGCTCCCTTAACGAGCGCCGGGAAGACCTGGAGCAAACAAAGGCATCGCTCCACGCAGAGGACACCGGACCCGCAGAAGACAAAAGCAGGTCTCATGTTTTAATACCACGGCACTACTGCTGCCCGGGGTTAACAATTACTGCTGTTCTCCATTAGACATGAACTGCACCAAAAGCGTGAGCTAAAATAAAACATAAATTCTGGCCACGCAGTGAGTGCGAGAATTCTATGGATTGCACAGAAAACAACCTCTTTGTGCAACACATCAGCAGTTAAAGCTTTAATGCTGTGGCTTTCCTGGACAGTTATACTTCTATATGAAAATTATACAGCAATTTTGTGAATTTGTTGTTGTTTTTCTTTTCACTAAAAAGGAAAAAATAATTACAGCAGCATCGCAGAAGAAATCACAGACAATTACAATTTGCGCAGCATAGTTTGCTCATCACTCAGATTAATATAACACGATTAAATATGGAAAAGAAGAGGGTCTGAAAGCTCCTGAGGGATATCATTAGGGCAAATTGCCAAAGAATGAAACATGAGCCAGTCAGGAGAGTCTGGAAGCTGCACTAATACCAAGGGACTTGAATGTTCGACAGTTGGAGCTTCAGTAATGTGTGAACTGCAGGTTAAGGTATCAAGAGACTCTGCTCACTGACACAGAGAATGTCACTATTGACCAACGAACTGCCCAAGCTTGACAGTTACACTACAGAAAGCCAAGTATATCATAATTCCATATTTAAACTGTTCATTTCAGATTAACATTTCGCATCTTAGCTTTATGTCAAACATCTGCAATTCGTCTCATTTTATATTTGTAGTAATGGTCATTTTAATACTTATTGTTTTGTTACTAAGAATTAATTGATTTGGAAGAAGATATAAGTATCTTTCTCCTCTTTGGCACAGAACTGCATGAGATTTATTTCTATATTATCATTCTCCATAGTTGAAATAATACTATCTATTAATGATGCATTCAAGCTCATTATTATTTCTGAGGGTCTTGCATTCAAAATGAAAATGGAATTACCAGTTAAAATGTTCACATGCTATTATATACAGCATGCAAAATTTAAACCACAACTAGGTTTATATTTCAATCACATACTGAAATAAAGCAGAGTGTACAGAGTATCCTAAAAACATATACACTATCCTCCTCCTCTTAAGTGACATTTTTAAATCATGGATTAACATAATGCTGCTATATGCTTAAAGAAATACTTTCCTTTCTTATGCAGATATAAAGTCTGTGTTATATTTTAGTCAAAAATCTAAAAAAGTTACTCACTCCAGTAAAATACATTTAACGGTTTAATAACTCTCTTAATTCAAAATCTCTGTATCGGTGCGACACTCAAAAGACTAACATTTAACACTCTTAATAAAAAATATCTACTAAATGTTAGCAACTCTAGCAGTAAATGCAAGGACTTGATTAGATAGTTACCAATGTTTTGCTGTGTTCTTCCTTGCTTTTCAGAAGAGTAGCATGTGTAACACCTACTGTATGCTACTGCAATAGGTTTCTAAATAATATGGTATGAAAATGCTTTATTATTTCCTGTTGTATACAGTCTGCTATACAAGCAGCTATGGCAGCCTAACACTGTTCAAACTGAGTTTCAGTATCATGTTAATCCTCTTCAAGTAAATCATAATAATTACAGATTTCATATTATCAAATTTGTGCTTTTTCTAGCCATTATGTTTTTCCCCTTTTTAATATTTCAAAAGTGACTGCATTCCTCAAATGCATTAGCTATTTACGTAACTTACCTCTTTAACATACTTATTCATTTTTCTAAACAGAAAGAAATGGAGAATTCTGCAAAATTTGCAATTAAAATTTTCTATTAACATCTATTCCAAATGAAACTAATAATATCCACATCTTTAAAAGTTTCAAGAAGAGAAGTGTCATGTGCAGAGAAATTTATTTTCCAAGACAAGTAGTCATTATACTAAGTTATCCTGAAGCCATTTTCAAGGCTGCTTAAAACCTCACCAATTTTACCAGCTACTGCTGGAGACTTCATCAACCAGGAACTGTGATCCCTTTCTCTGCTCATCTCACACACTCACTCATGTATCATCGTTCAACTTGGAGTGCATTAAAAATTCAGATACTATTGTAAAATAGGATTTTGGAACTAACTGGTTATTGGAACTTTGATGGCTTGTTACGTGTTTTCTGGCAGCAAGCGATCCTGCTTCAACAGGGCAGCCCATGGAAAACCTCTGCCAGTGCAGAGTTTTCCTCCCTAAGGAAACAGGCTGGCAATTTTTTTAAAAACAAAATTTTTGTCTGTTGAAATCCTTGTTTGTCATTATTGAAAAATAGGGATTATTTCTCAAAAAAAATCCCATTTTCAGGAAATTACTGTTTATTTTCACTTTCCAACAATTTCTTTCAGTTTAAGCAATTTTTCATTTCAAAAATAAAAAAAGGCTTGAAATAAAACACTTCAGATTATATAAACAAATAAGTTAATTAACCTAAACCTAAACTAGCTTAAAAATATTTAATAAAAACTTTCAGTGTTCAGTCTATTTTCTAACTAGTATACAAGCATTACTTGAAATTCCTAGTGATTTCATAGGACATGACAAATTTTGCTGTCCCATTGTAACAATCAGTTAATGAATTTATTACGTTATTGTGTACAGCTAAGTTTCAGTCTGTTTCCGATCTCAGCATCACCAAACTTTCATGAACCTGCAAGGAAAGTGTGAGCCATTTTCTCCAGACTTCTGGTGTGAATCCGGTACAGTAATTCTATCTTTTCCCCCTAGAAAAATGTGTAAGAACTTTGTGCTTACTGCTAATATCAGGCTATAAGAAAAAGTCACTCCAAATAGTGGAAGAGAACACTTCAAAAAGTTTTGGGTTTTTTTAGCAAAATGCATTGTTAAGAGATAGTAAGAGATTACTACCAAACATCAGCATGACCAAAATAGTCTAAGAATCCTAGAGAAAGCGAGGAGCTGTTTTCCACCTTCGTGCAAAAAACAGCCATTTGAGAAGAGTGGGCTGCTCAAAACCTACAAATGGCGAGTAAGAATTATTGGGAAAAATTTTAGTTCAAGGCTCCACCAAAGAAGGCTTCCTTGTTSCTAGGAACATGAAGAGTGCAGTTCACCCCGCCCCCCGCCACGTAGATTATTCTGATTCAATTCTGCTGCAACTATTCTGATATGTATATCTGCTATTCCAATACTCATTTCTACCAGCCAGGTTTTTTACTGAGGGGGACTTTCAAAATGACTTGCTTCATGCCACCCTCTTTTATTTCTGCTGAAACACTCCAATATGTCCAGACCCACATACTTTGAAAGATTTTCTGCAGGCTTGTACATTGTGCTTATTTGCACAATGTCTGCAAATTTATATTATCTGAAAGAATAAAGTTAAAACAATTATTTTGCATCTTACACACAGCTATTCTTCCTCATCTGGCAGTTACTTGCTATCAGTAGAAATTACCTTCTTCAAAGCACTTCCTATAACCAAAAGCAAAGAGAGAAGCAGTGTGACAAGCAATTGATGACAAGATTTAATCATGCCACAACAGGAAAATTGGAAATGCATAAACTGATTAGCAGAAACTTGTCAGAAAGCCAAAAGCAAAAAGAGAAGTTAGGTAAAATGCTAAAGTAACCTATRGTACAGTGCAACCTTTTAAAATCAACTATAAGAAATTAAAAAACTATCGTGACAAAACGATTCTCTAATAAATGCTCAGATACTGTCAATCTCTGTCAACACCACATCCAGAGCCGGGCACTGGGTTGCTCTTTCCCTCCTTCCTCACAGTCCCATTGGGCTAAAGATTTGCTTTCCCTCCCACTGTCTTGACCACACATATGTTGAAACCTGCCAAAGATTCTGCTTAGTTAACTCATCCATTTATTAACACCCAGTAAGTAGATGCAGAGGACCGGTCACCTTTCCACTGCTACGATCGCTGCCACCAGCCTGGACCAACTCCTGCTGCTGGTACCTGTCAGTGCTCTCTCAATAGACAGAATTACTGTAAAAACACTGTCCACTTGCTGAGAGGGGAAGAGCAGCTCAAGTGAAAGGAAGAGTTTTCTACATTATTTCACAACTCATAAGACTGTCGGTTTTGTCCAAAGGGACATGCCCRTCTAAGCTCTGTTTGAA